TAAGACCTACACCCGCATCACGCCACATTAAACCAGGGTCGTTTGTGTTCAAGAACCTCAATACTTGTGACTTTGTATTCCTCCGACAAGACAGCTTAAGAAAATCTTTACAGGCTCCATATTCTGGTCCTTACAAGGTCATATGCCGTGACGAAAAGACAATTACCATCATTGTAAGAGGCCAAGAAACTAAGGTATCTTTGGACAGGGTCAAGCCAGCCTATATTATTGCAGATGAAAGTCCTATTCCTGAGCCCACGAAACGTTTGGTGCCGACTGGACAAGCAGAGGAATCCTCAAAACTACCACCATCTTGTCAAACTCCATCTACGAATTCTTATACAACTCGTTCTGGAAGACAAATCCGACCACGGGTTACTTTTCAAAATGATGTATAGATTCCTTTTCTCCGTGGGGGGCTGGTGTAGCGTCAGCTGATGACGTTGTCATAGCAACGCATTAAGTTAGTCTGATTTTTGTTTTCTACAGGAATGTACACACAATTTAACTCTTATTAAAATACTTTTCTATTACTTATTTGGTCATAATTTTATTCTATGTACACGAACAACCACGACCAAACCTTTAAGGTCTTCAAGATTCGACTAAAGATTGTGCTAAGGAGTTGAGTACAACATTTGTTAGGTCGATCAGCATTTATCTGTGGCTTTAGTTACAAATTATACATCATAAGACTTCCGAGTAAGAACGCTGCCAATGATTGGATGTTAAATTTTAAATTTACAAACTAGCAAAAAGGCAACGTTGTACATAATATAGTTAACAATATGAACAACTAATTAACCACACAGACAAACTATTCTCTTCGCAGTTGAGAGTTGAGTGTTTATCAATCACCATTGTAATGATATTTTGATTAGAAAGTCTCAATTCTGCCTACTAATGTATCATAGTAGAAACTGACTAGTGAATAAACATTAACTGGCCTTCTGTAATTACAATGATTCAATTAACATACCATGATCTATTTAGAGATGGACCTCGAATGATTTCAGAATTGGCTATGTATGTTTCAATTGCATTGAAACTAATCCTATCTAAATTACCACGTTTGTATTGTTATGTTTTAGTGGTCTTAGTTATAGTTTCTTCTTATAATAGTTGTATTCTTAATTTTTATTGTTAGTTTCTTAGTGTCAAACTAGTGATGAATCCTTACATATTATTCAATATTATGAATTGAAAATTACAGTTTCAGTTCTAGATAGATATTATACTTAGTTATTTTTTATTTTGGTTTATTTGTCATATTATATTTTTCAGTTAAAATATTGACCACTAATATCATATTAGATAGTTGTGTAAGAAAAGTTATGCAAAAAATACATTTACATACAAAAAAGACTTCTTAGAAGTAAAATAATTTTGTTTACAAAATGAAACTTAATAAAGAACCATTCAAATAATATAAGAAAAGAAAATTTGAATATCAACTAATCTTTTTAATGATATATCATATTTTCTACAATCAACTGGTAAGATTTAATCTGTTCAAAATAATATGTGTAATATTTGTTTATATATTTTATTGTTTTAAGTATATTATAATAGATTAAGATAAGCTAAGCAAATCAAACACTTGACCAATATCTTTTATAATCTCTAGAAATAACGTTTTTTTTTAACTTTGATTTATTTGTCAGCTAGACTAAAGCTAGATTGCAAAATATGGAAATGACTAACTTAAATTATTTTTTCAATAGGCTGGTAAAAAAAAAAACATTTGAATTTGATTTATACTTTAGCGAAAAATTTTGAAGGCTTTCAAGTAAGGCGTGAAAACTAAATGACTAAGGATATTTCACTTATAAGTTCTAAACTATGTGAAAAACCCCGATTGGAATAAGGTTTAGTACTTTTTTTAATCTTACAAAGGTTTGAAACTAAGAGATGTTTAAAAATTGCATTGATATGAATAGTTGTAATATTCTAAACGCAAGTTAAAACATTTTCGCTCATCTAGCAAGAAACAGCTCATTCACTTACACAGCATAAATGTACAATTTAAAATGACACGTACAAAGTAGTAAAGAAGGGATTGGTTGATTCAACAAAAAATATGTTATAGACGTTTCATTTTTAAAAAGCTTAACGTTATCCTTTAATATATATTTAATGTTTTATTGAATGTTCAAACTCTAATTGAAATTAAATACGAGTTTGTAATGAAATAATTAATACTATTATTAGACTCATTAGCAAAGTGTCAAGTGATGTCCGTTAATGAATATGGGTATCTAATGAATCAAAGGGCTCATTATACGCAAACAAGTCTCTTTGAATACAAATGCCTCCATTTTGCCCCAGTTGGTATCGCGTTGTGCATAAAGGGGGTTCGTGCTAAACCTACTGAACCATAAAACGTATTATCGACAGTAAATGGCATACAGTTAATGTCGGTGACATTGTAAAATTATTATACTTATTCATGTAAAAGATAAGTTTTTGACAAAAATTAATCTATTTCGTCACATTTACGATTTATGCTGTTTATTTTTAATGGGGATTAGATTCATGCGGTTATTTTTGGACTATTCAAAGAGATTTGAACGTAGTCGTTAACTATAAAACGTTTATCTCGTTTGTATTTATTTCATACAAATTTTGAATATTCTAGCGAAGGGGAATGCATAAAATAGGTAAGAATGAGACATGATCTTTCTAAGTTTCCTGGCTTGAAAATGAGCTTATGGTATAAGTCCCAGTTGAATAAGGTGATTTTAAATGATATACTACTTAATTGCAGTTTTGAATATTGTTTTTTATTTGTAACATGTTTTATATAAAAAAAAATAACTCTTAACTAACTACTTAAGTTTTAATTGTCAAAAGTCTTAGGCCATACTGTTTAAATGTGTTTAGTTGTTTAGTGTTGGTAGCATATATAGCTCCCGATGGTGTGAATAATGATGATTTAGAGGTCATCAGTATGTTGCACTGCATCTATAACTGATGTAAATTGGAACAAGCATAACGATTTAATATACGACTTTACATAATTTTAATCGCTCATCTTATTTTAACTACGTCTTTAATTACTGCCAATCCTAGTAGTATGATCAAAATAACAAAATGTCAATTTTTATCTTTGTTTGTGGTTATTCGTGATCAATATAGACAATCAAAAAACACGTCAAATTACCTTATATCCGCCAATTGATCGTTGTAATTATTCTTTACAGGAGATGCATTTCGTTGATGCATGCAGTACAAAATCGTTTTTAAAAACAGGCATTTGTAAATCATTTATGAGTCAAAATCACGTTTAAAATCAGGTAGAGTTTTCAATAGTTGTAACCATAGGATTACATTCATAGTTTTGGTTCTTAAAAAAATAATTTAGACAAAAAATTTGTTAAATTACCTGATGTTTGCCAATTGATTATTGTAATTAAGTTACAAAAGATTTATTTTGGTGATTAAATCTAAAGTTTAAAAAAGTGTTTTCAGGAGAAAAAAGAGTAATTTTTAATTTAAATGAGTACGAAAAAATATTACTGTAATCTTATCGTTACAACTATTTGAAATTTTACCCGATTTAAAACGCAATCATGACTTATAAACAATTTACTAATGTCTGTTTGTAAAAACGATATTGAACTGTATTCATTTTTTCAATCAAGTACGAACGATTCCGATTCCAAAAACCAATACTTCAGCTCTACCCCCCCCTCGTCAAACAAACACACTTGATATTCACCAATGTAAAATACTTCCAAGGTAAACTGTTATGTTTGCTTACACAGTTTCATGCAAAAGTGGTAAACATATGTGCACCTATTTTATCCTTGGTTTAACTTTCACAAACAAGAATATTAATTTTGTAAATAATTTATTCCACATTGCTTTTACATTAACGGTGTTCAAACTACACGCACAGCTTTATTTGTAATTTTCCTTTAGTAAGATTACAGTTATTTGTCAATAAACCCATTATAAACTGTGAAATTTCAACTGTGACTCAACTTAAAACCTACATTTAGTTTATGTCTAAAGATTGAACTCACCTTTAAGAAAATAATTGTTAGTTATGTATTATTTTGTATAAAAGTATAGTTAAAAGAATAAATCATGGATTTTCACTTGGGGTTTAACAATAGAAAACTCTGAATGTAAATCAGTTACTTAAACCCTACTTATAAATACCAAATATGCGATTTTGTGTATAGCTTCTTGATCAGCATCGTACGTTTTATTTAATTACCTGTATACGTCTAATAACACTTGTAATACTACGTCTAATAATACTAATGATTCACAAGACGGTAAATAAATATAAAATATGGTTATTGGTGATTGATTTCAATTGGACACTCCAATCATCATCAGACCCAATAGGTGATGGATAAGAAACTATACAAAATGTCCACTCATTAGGAAAAATGGAAGTCATGCATTTTAAAGAATTGTAAGAAAAGAAATGGAATGAATGCTTGGGATGAATTCCATATTTATAAGGAAAATGTAAAAATAGAAATAAGCTTATTAATGAACAAGTAAATTTTGACTCCAATTTTACTTATGGAAACTTATGTGCCGGTTTTTCCATAGTCAATTGTATATAGGGACGCCATTGAGAGATTCTTGTCATTCGCCTATTGGTTCTAATAATTATTGGTGGAGTGTCCAATTGAAATCGATCACCACTTACATCTTTTATATGTATGAGTCAAGGGTATAAGTGTAAACATATTTTTACAAGTGTTGTTAGACGTATATCTTTTTCGAATTAGAAGAAGAAAAAGATTTTTTGTAAAAAATCCACTAAGCTTTGAATGCTACAAAAATACTTATTTTATAACGTTGAATTGTAATGAACTGAAATTAGTTGGTTTTTAGATAATTAACTGAAATTGGCAAAGGGAACACCAAATGCTTATCTGATTAACGATACGCTTTACTAACAAATTAAAACTTTAATCTTTGCCTAAATTACTTGCAACAGTAAAAGTTTTTTGTTTTAATAAACTAATACTAACCTGGTCTTACACTTAGAAAAGGTTCTTGAAGTTCTTCTTTTGCTGATCCTGAAACAAGAAAGTGTATTGGTAACATTTCAAAGTACACATATCAGCAAACTCTAATATATGTTGTGAAAACTCTAAGTAAAACTTACGAATAATATATACAATTTGATTTTTACTTTACTATGTGATAAATTGTATATTATGTGAGATCTTTCATGCCAATTCAACATTTATTGATAAAATAATAAATAAAAACATTATCTTTCTCTACATCACAAGATTTCTGTGTTTTAAAACATGATGATTTGTTAGACAAAAGTTGCTAGAGTTTCCTCAATTCTTCCTTTCACAAACGAATGTGTGTTGTTGACATGGGTCGTCAGGTGGAAGAGACATGTGTTAGTTATAAACACATCTGTATAGTTTGCTTCAACAGGAATTTTAGTTGACGTTTTAAAATATATCCATCCTTAGAATTTTGGACCTAGCTATCTTTTATCTTTTGAGACAAAATTAGTCATGATCCTTGCTAATTATTAGTCACGATTCTTGCTGTCTATTAGTTTAATTAACTTACTACTTATGTGCTGTAGTTTTAAATGTTTCTTACTCCTGTGATCTATTATATCCAATAACCAGTTATCATTTACTGGTTATTTAGTCAAAACCTACTAGTTTAAAATTATTGTTCCCTGCGAAGGGAATTTGTTTTGGCGCTTCATTAAATAGTTCGTTCTTTAAAAATGACGATACCAAAAAACTTTAATACAATTATAGGCCCCCTAAAATGTTTAAGCCCTTTTTTAGTACAAGAAACTCATTTAATAAACATATGTCAGATTGACGGTCAAATCGGAACACAAAACAAACAATAAATCCTACGTGTTTACATTTTTTTACGGATTACACTGTTATTTTGCCAAATGTTACCGGGATAGAACAACTTAAAATATAATAAAAAAAAGAATTAAACAAATAAGCAATAAAATTGAGTCTCAATAATTTTAATTTGATATAAGAAAAACTTCAGTCACTCCCACTTATGTTTAGTGTTTATTTAGATATTTACAGCATAATATTAGCGGAATCGACTCCAACAATCAAATAAATCTTTAATCCTCAGCGTAGACTTCAGATGAATTCCATTTAGTAGAGTATATGTATATTGGTAGGTATTTTATTATCTAAATTGTTATGTGCGTTTATTTACTAAGGCGTTCGTCTACCACTGAGGCTACCCTTATGTTTGCTAAGGCCCAATATACACAGACTTGTTTGTAAACTCAGCCTCAGCTACGCATGTTGAACATTAACTTAAATATTTTTACATACTGTACCTGTAATGCCAAGAGCTATTCAATGTAAAACATACATTCCTTTATAATTAAAAAATTGGTTAATAATAGAGTTTACTTTTAAAAATATAAATTTATTCTAAATGTCATATAACACACAAACATAATGTTACACACATTGAGTTAAGTCGTTATTTTGCCATGTTAAAAAATGTGTGCACAAAAGGTGATCATCGAAAAGGGTACTTGTAAGTATCATTAACTATAGCTGTCTCTGGTCGTTCGTAAATAAACTACAATGATTTGACGTGTGTGCTGTAGAAAGTGTGCCTACCAAATGTTATCAACATTTACTATGTTATAGTCATTTTATTCATAAACAAAATTGCACAACTCCTAACGTTGAAAACTTTAAGGTTGCAATGTTCAAATTATTTCTCATTAAAAACCGCAGACCCATCATAATTGGTATAGTGGGAGAAATGACTTGTCAGTTTTATTATTCCGTTACAACCATTAACTAATAACTGTAACTTAATACAATGTTTTATTAATTTCATGACGTCACACGTTACCGATTAAAGCAAAGGAAGTTTAAAATAAGTTTAATCAACAAGTAATTACATGTGTTGATTTTGTTATTTTGTTTTATTTTATTCGCTGTCAGATGACCCAAATGGTATTGGAACTAATTGTAAACAATTAACACATAACTACTGTCCGACCCCTTAACAGGACGATGGCTTTGCTTACAACGCCATCTCTTGTTACAACATTTCTTCTTGTTATTACAAATCTGTTAAATTATAATAACAACAAAACTATACCTGTTAGTCACGATGCATCTAATAATTAAAATATCCGAGTAGGAGTTCATTTACTTTATAAAAGAAAAAAAATATGTTAACCTGTTATTGTGCATCCAAATATATGAATAAAAATGTAAATACATTGAAATAACAAAGAAGTAACCTCATAGTTTGAAGAACTTGAATAACAAGGATTTGGATATTTAAACTATTTATTAATTTTTTTCAACAGAACAATTTGATAGATCAGTAAAATTAAAGAAGAAAGTGTAATATAAAACCACATTTATGTTTCTAACTGCATATCAGTTTTAAAATCAATAGTTTTCCATGCCTCAGAACCGATTATATCATACGATCAGAGCAAAGTGAATTCAACGTTGTTAATAAATCAACTTTTACCAATCATTATAATTTCTAGCTTTACACATTGGATTAGAAAAACATTATCTAAATATCAAACTCATACGGATTTATCTCATGCATAAACACTTTTTATTCAATAAACCCTACAAGATTCATCATGAGATGTTTGAAATGCAAACCTAAGTTTAAATTTATAAACTGACACACAAGAAAACTTGCTTTCTTAAACGTGATGAAACTCAATTGCCAACTTTCATGATCATGTTTGACTTTATATACGTTACAAACTTTGTGTAAAGATACTCTGTAGCTTGCATCCACCTTAAAACTTGATATGCAAACTAACTGCTAAGGTTCTCCTCAAACAAATGTCAATGTATGTAAAATAACGGTCGATCAAAGGAAAAGATATTTTTTATTTAGTACTATAAAAATGTAATATGTATATGATTTATACAGGGTGTTCATTTGAAAACTTTCCATATCTGTTGTGTGCAAAGGTGAGACTTTTTACACTTGTTTATTCTCATTTCCCCCTAATTTGGACATGCCAAATCCAATAAAATTATTTTCAATTTCGAAAAATGCCCCAAAAGGGCCCAATTCGGGGGGTAGGGGTGTTTTTTGAGAAATTTTCAAATGTAAACATGGGTTGTGTGATACATCAATTTAAAGGTCTAATCATCCCGACTATTTTGGTGCAATAAAAATGTAATTATCTTTAACCGTATTTACAGGGTGGGTCAAAACGTTTAAAAAAAGGACTTTGAGGTTATGTACCGTATTAACCGAACTACTGAACGTAACAGCGCCAAATTTATTTCCAAGCTTATTCTTGATCTACTCTTTAAGATAACTTGTAATAAGGGCATTTTCCATGTTATTTTCTAATTTTTAAAAAATCTAAAATTTGAAGAATAAAAGAAAGGTGAAAACTCAAAATTCTTAAATAGCAAGGTATAACAAATTTCATACCACGTGAAAGGTCCTTTTTTAACAAACATTTTACGTATTTAAGTTTTCTTTCTATCTCTTACCGTTTAAAAATTGCAGTAGAAAAACTGAATTTTCCATAGTAATATTGTAACTAGTTTTCTAATAAAACAGCCAAAATTCGTCTCTAGACACATTTAATGGTGCATTAACTGAAGGAAACAATTCATAATTATTGATACCCTGATTTACAAACAAGTCATTATGTTTTAATTTGTGAAAAACAAGTCTTATAGCTGATGAGGACAACCTACATGTGGGCCGCTTTCTGTAGTACCTTTGACTAGTCAATGGTAGTACTAATTTCAAAAAGTACTATTTTCTGTAGTATCTAATCGAATATGGTGTACACTTAAAAAATAGACTTTATTTTTACTTATTGGGCAGAACAAAAGTGTTTCAGGATAACTGCAAAGTGTTTAACAACAAATATCCAGGTAAGACCTTAAGTCATAAAGCTGTAAATGATTTAGTTAAGAAATTTCTGAAACTGGCTCAGTTACCAATGAGAAAAGAACAGGATGAAGGGTCAAAGATGTACTGACACAAGTAAAAGTAGTTGATCAATTTGTAGTTAATCATAAATCATCGTTGAGCAAAGTGCAATGTGTTTTGTTAGGAAACTAGTTATAATTTTACCATAGAAAATTCAGTTTTTCTGCTGCAATTTTTAAACTGTAAGAGATAGAAAGAAAACTTAAATACGTAAAATGTTTGTTAAAAAAGGACCTTTCACGTGGTATGAAATTTGTTATACCTTGCTATTTAAGAATTTTGAGTTTTCACCTTTCTTTTATTCTTCAAATTTTAGATTTTTTAAAAATTAGAAAATAACATGGAAAATGCCCTTATTACAAGTTATCTTAAAGAGTAGATCAAGAATAAGCTTGGAAATAAATTTGGCGCTGTTACGTTCAGTAGTTCGGTTAATACGGTACATAACCTCAAAGTCCTTTTTTAAAACGTTTTGACCCACCCTGTAAATACGGTTAAAGATAATTACATTTTTATTGCACCAAAATAGTCGGGATGATTAGACCTTTAAATTGATGTATCACACAACCCATGTTTACATTTGAAAATTTCTCAAAAAACACCCCTACCCCCCGAGTTGGGCCCTTTTGGGGCATTTTTCGAAATTGAAAATAATTTTATTGGATTTGGCATGTCCAAATTAGGGGGAAATGAGAACAAACAAGTGTAAAAAGCCTCACCTTTGCACACAACAGATATGGAAAGTTTTCAAATGAACACCCTGTATACTGAAAGTAACTAATTTACATTTGAAAATATAGCCTCTGGATCGTTATTTAACATGATTAAATCTGTATTAACTAATTTACGAAACATCAACTACATTTTGCGTAAATTTCAAATTAAAATCAGGTATGAAAGTTGTCCCGAATGAAATTAAATTATGCAATTGCTATATCAATTAAAGGTTGTAAGGCTTAAGTATTAAGAACTAAGCAACAAATAACAAATTTACAAGCCTTAAATATCCACACGGTTTTAGATATTGAATTTATAGGTTGTAAACCAATGAAATATATTTTAACTGTTGTATAGAACTGTACTGTAACTGTTGTGAGCTACA